ATATATATATATATATATATATAACCCTCCAAAACCCATTAAAAGTTAATAGCTGAAAATGTTGTCGCATGAAAGCCCACAAAAAAAAAGATTTATTCCAATAAATCCAGCAACTGAACTTCAAGGTTTATTCTCAAAGACGAAAGAGTATTTTTTCTAAGATTTATTGCACAGTTCCACAATCACTTTCAATAGTAACGCGAATAAAAGCAAGGCACAAGTCTAAATTATTTCTCTCCATCACATCAACATTAGGGCCCCAAATGCTGCCAGCAGAGCTTAACTTTCATTTCTCTTCACCAGCAGAAATCATAAAAAAAAACGCTCTCCAAGAGTTTCATTTAAAAGGACTTGACGGAAACAGCTGGAGAAGTACAAGAGGAAAAAGAAAAGGAGACAGACAGGAAAGGCGAGCGAAAGAGATTTGAAAAGGCTTCACAGGTGAGGTGGGCTGAGGGACACCCTGTCTGTTTGGTCTCTCGCAGAAAGAAGAAGGGCATGTTTATGCAGACGGATTCTCTCTCACACGACTCCCTCTGGCTTCGGCACTCCACATCACTCCACGAGCCTCAGAATCAGGTAGTGTGACCACACAATTGGCCCAGAGGCACGGCTTTCATGAGAGAGAGAGAGTTACAAAAGTGAAGCGCATGCCATGGAGAGAAATCAGACACTCTCAGATTTGGCAGCACGGTTGCTCCGACACACACATTTCAGCCGGAGAGCGACATGTGCCCTGAATGGGGTTGCTCTCGTCCCAACAACAAACACTTTTATCATCTATCAAGGCAGGTAAGCGTGAGACAATTTGATTGTACGGACTTGCGGTTTGTGGCAGGGAAGCCAAATACCAGGCTCTAGTACCTCTGCTTCCGCAGGATCACTTTTCAAACCACGATCAAATTATGGTGAAGAACAAAGCGGTTGGCTTGTATCTTTTGTAGAAGGCTTTTTTTTCCTGTGAATGGAGGCCAGACAAAGCGTTCAAATGGAGAAAGCGTTTCAAAACAGCGCTATCAAAGCGTTGCGGGGGAGAACTCTGTTAACGTATAAGATTTCCTTCTTCTGAGGAAAATAACATTAGCTGTTTATATGAACTATCAAACATAAGAAACACAATGAAATCTTGGACGTCTTGTGAGAAGAATCACTTTTTATTAAACACCCACACACACAAAAATAAGACTAAGCTAATTTAATCTAATTTACATTTAAATGAATCCTTTTTGTGGCCAATTATTCACATAATCTAGAAGTCTTACAACTCCACGGGAGGCCGGAATCCTTCATACTTAGTTGCTTCAAAGCCTCTAAATAAATTGGCTGCAAGAAAACCAACGGCGGCTTCCATTGCATACTTCATGTCATAATCCCAGTTTAGTCAACTCAATTGGAGTTGATGTGACAATTGTCTGAGCATACGCTTCTAATCTGTCTCAGGCTGTTTAATACACATTTCTAATGACAAAATTGGCAGAAATTGACTCACAAATTCATATTCAAACTGCATTCGTAATCCAACCATGTCTATTCTAAACCACAATCTATTTCATGACCACACAGGGGTTGCGAATGTACTCAAGGCGACACACGGGGGGACCTGACAGCATGAGACCAATGCATTGGGCATGATCACCTGCTAGCAAAACTCCAGTTTAACTCCTACCACCTGCACCACGGGGGTCAAACCTGTGTCAGACCTCTCTGATGTCAAAAAAAGAGCGTCTTGTTTCACCATCGTCCCATTACCTGGAACCATTCCAGCACTTACAGCCTCTCCACAATAAACCATGTAGAGCTTTGAGTATCAAACTTGCTGGATACATACTGAAAGACAAAAAAGACCAGGTAGAAGTCGCAGTGAAGGACACTGACTCTCGGCCCATTCAAAAGGCTGATTAGCATAGCACTCCTGCCGGATCAATAACCTCATTGACTCGGTCTGTCTCCTCTATCAGGAATGATGGCAGACTCTCTTTTGTAACTCTATTCTCAAGGCAACAGTCTATTCTCCACAAACCCTCACTCAATTTTTCAAACGGCCCTCGATTTGTTTCCTTCTGTCTCACTGTCTTTGAGAATGTGAGTAAATAAAGCTGTCTGCATGCCACTGAGGAAGATTAGCATGTTAGCTTTTCGCTTTATCTGCTGCTGAATGCCTGGAAGAGAAGAAATGAAGTCTCACCATCATGCTAATTTTACTTTACAAACCTCTTACTATCATGCTTAAGAAAAAGAGGTGCGAATGGAAAAGACAAGGAGCCACTCGACCTCCAATTTGCTCAAAGCATGGCTTTACAATCCATTACCAAACCTTAGCTTAACGGGAATGTGGAAAGTTAGGAATCAATCCCCATCCCTCCCAAAAAAAAATCCTTCTTTCAAATATGGAGACAAAACAATGAAGCGAAAAGATTTGAAGAGGAGAAAGACCACAACCATGAAGAACCAGAACCATGAAGTGAACCTTTGATGGCCTGAACTTTTTTCCAACCATCCATCACATAAAAAAGTCTTAAGTTTAAAATATTCGAACGAAATGAGGGATTGACCAGTGACCTGATCCCAGGAGCTGCTTGGGTTCTGGGGGTTAATGGGGGATAAAGATTAGGAGGAAGTGGGCTTCGCTTCATCTCCGTCCCCAACCACCTTCCCGTTCCAATCCCAAATCAGCCACACAATGAGACCTGCCAATAGAGATGAAGCCCGCTTTCCTTTGATATCCTTCCGAGCACTCGGCTCCGAGTGTCCAGAGCAAAGCTCCATGGAGGTTTCTCTCTACTCCGGGGAGTGGAAGAGCTCTCTCTGAGCCATTTTAGATGGAAATGACAGCCGCTCTACTAGAACAAGAAATCAATTTCCAAAAGCGAAGAACGCAGTAGGCCGTCCATCCGAAGAGTGAGCAATGCTATCCCTCGTCTTTAAACTCGGGTGAGATATGCTTAATTGCTGGAGATTTTATAATGTGTGTGCATTGGCTGTGTGAAGTTGGGCGGCAATTATACTTTTTTTACGCACTAATCAGAGGACTTCTGTTCCAGAACAGATATGCTTTAAGAGTTCATCTTTGAAGATTTAAGTGGATACTCGTCAAATTAAAAACTAATATTCAAATCTCTTTTAGGTGTGGAGAGAGGAGCCGGGTTTTGCTTAGCCTCGTGAGGCAGTGACTTCTGGGGATTTCAGCCCCTGCCTGAAGCCAAGCCACCCAACCTCTTTAGCAAATGCAAACTTTAATCAGCCCTGGACCTCAAAGGCAGAGTAATAGTTTGGAAAGACTCACTGATGGATGCTTCTCTACAGACTTGAGCGCTGAGTTCTGCAAATCGGCAGTAAAGTGTGAGCTGTTATTGCTTGCACTATATGAAACTTTTTTAGCTTGGATTAGAAATATTAATATGAATATTAACGTATAAGTACTGATTGGATGCTATCAAAGCACCCACATTTGAAGTGCCTAGCCAACTTCTGAAGAATAATAAAGACATTTCTCTGCACATCGATTATTACAAAAGACACTTCACTCAAACGATTGATTAGCATCATCATTTACTTACCTTCAGGTTATTGCTAGGCCCACACGGAATCTGCGCGCGTAGAATTCCGCAGATTTTCCGCAGAATTCCGCAGGTTTTTTACTTGAGTAAATGTGTAAATCGGAATTTATTCAGTTTTTATTCAGTAATTTATTACTTTTTATTTAATATATTAAAGTGTAAGTTATGATACTCCGCTGGATACTCCCAAAATAATTCAGCAGAAATCCGCAGATCCGCAGAAAAAGCAAAAACTGTCCGCAGATTCCGTCTGGCCCTAGTTATAGCTATTGTACAATGTAAAACCCAAAAAGTTAAGGTAACTCAAACCATATGAGGAAACCGATTGCAACTAACCATTTAAGTTAAAAACTAATCCTAATGAGTACTGTGAACGTAATCCATTTGAGTAAACGAAGCAATTTGAGCACAGTAAAACCAAATAAATGAAGAGAATCCAAACCATCTGCGTGCTGTAAAACCCAATAAGTTTAGACAACTCAAACCGTTTGCGAAAACCAATTGCTACAAACCATTTGAGTTCACAAACTAATCCAGGGGTCACCAAACTTGTTCCTGAATGTCCGGTGTTCTGGAGATTTAAGCTCCAACCCTAATCAAACACACCTGATCAAGCTAATCAAGGTCTTACTAGGTATACTTGAAACACCCAGGGAGGTGTGTTGAGGCAAGTTGGAGCTAAACCCTGCAGGGACACCGGCCCTCCATGGGCCGAGATTGGTGACCCCTGAAGTAATCTGTAAGAGTACTGTGAACTTATTTAAGTTGAAGTAATGAGGTATTTAATTAACTCATTACACTGAGATCAAAACTCTTTTCAAATGAGTAGAATTAACCTTCAGTAAATTTTGAGTTAACTACACTCACTTCATTTGATTCATTTGACTGTTGGGTGATACACTGTGGCTAAAATCAGAAGCTATACAAACGAATGGCCTAAACTTGCCTCTTCCGGTATATCTCATTTACCCATCGCAACTGTAGACCCCTGTCTGGCAATGTCTACATCACTAATGACAACGACCACCACCTCCGTCACATAATCAGTGGTCACATTCTCACAGACGGCAGGATTCCATATGCGTGTTTTCCACTTACTTGGTGACTAAACCATCATCGAGGCTTCAAGGAAAGGCTGGGGGAGCCAGACAACATGCTTTAAACGTTTACCTGCTGAGTTATGCGGAGCAATACATTTATCTTGCCTTCATCTGCCTTTAACGTGAAACCCGACAACCGTCAGAAACTAAGTGGACTCTCTCGACTATCATGATGCATCAAGAATCTTTAAGAGATCCCCGGACTCCTCGTTATTAACACTCCTCTCAGGATGTGGTTGATGGAATATATAATGGAAGTGATTTTTGAGAGGACATATCAATTATGGCCGAGACAGACAGACCGAACATGCAAATGAGCACTTTAAAGATTGCTTTTACTTAC